ATGCTGCCCAGAGGAGGTCCTTGGAGATTGAGCAGTCGATCCATCATCAAGGTTGATGAAATTTCCCCTCGGCACTGGATCTTATCGGCGAAAAATAAGCCGATTGGGAGTTGGCCCATTCCAAGTTGTCTGGCTGAGCTCATTGGGTGATAGAATTCATAAGAGACTTGAATGTTTCTTCCCTGATGAATGCCGATAGAAAGGATGCATGGGCTGATTGCAACTGAGAAAACTTCCCTAGACTTTTGGTATCTTTTATGATTGATATCTTAAAATCTAAAGTCTGACGGGAGCTCAAGGTCTGCTGAGTCCTCATAAAAGCTGCAGAACCAATCCTTGAGCAGTTCAGCCGATAGTTTTGCTCCAGCATTGGCTGGTGTGGATGCATACTCTCCATATAACATGCATCTGCGATGGGTGCGTTCTTCTCCATCATCTTCTGTGATCGGCTCCAGCCTTGGGAATTCGGCTTCTGTCACTGATGGCCAATTGACAACTTTCATGACCATTAAGTTGAGCCAAGATTGTAGTAGCCACCATGGTCCACCTGCTTCAACCACCGAGCCGACGGCTATTTTGGCCGATGCATTGTTCAACATTTTGTATAAGTAGCCGAGGAGGATTTTGCCTAGAGGAAATTCTCTTTTTGACTCAAGAGCTTTGGCTGCAAACTGCCAGTTGGTTGTAGGGCCACAACTGGATCCACAGAAAAGAAACTTTTCTAGCCACATGAGTAAAAATGCCACATGCTCTCGAGGAGTAACAAATCTATGGCCCATATATGCTGCCACATAACCAGACCAACCACCTATGCTTTTGGTCCTGAAATCGTATTGGTTCTTGGTGTTCAGGTTCATGGGATTAGCAGATGAGGATACATCTAGACCAGTGATCATAGTAATATCTATCAGAGTTGGTGTCATCGGCCCTTGGTTGAACAGAAAGGCGTTGATAGTATTGGACCAGAAGTAGGTGGCGATGGCCATTAAGGGTTCATCTTTGGCTGAATTTGATATGGTGAGGGCAAGTGCTTGGCCGATTCCAATTTCATCCCAATGTGTTTGCTTGCTGGTCGATACACGCTTGTACCATGAGGTCCAACTCTTCTCAGGGGTGGTTTTCTCGAGAGACGGCCAAGACTTGAAGGTGTTCTTTCAGTGACCTAGATTAGGGTTGGCTAATTTGAAGGGGATTCTATTGGTTTCGCCAATGATGAAGTCAGTGCGATCTAGATTGCGGATCGAACCAAGGAAATAATGTCCCTCATGCGATAGACTTGGAATCGCAAACAGATTGGACAGATGCTACAGATGCGAACAAGAATAGAGAAGAAGAAAACAAGATGAGGAAAGGGGAAATCAATCTGATGCGAAAGGAGAAGATCTAGCCGATGAAAACTTACCTCAGCGTATTCGGCCGACGGCGCGGTAGACGGGCTGGCGGAGGACGACATTGCCGTGGGCGGAGATCTGGCCGGAGATGGAGTCGCTTGGGGATCGCCTTGAGCGTCGGAGAAATCGCCGGAGAGAGAAAGGACAAAGTTGTCTTCGGCGATGAAGATTTTTCAGGAGCAACGGTTAGTATTTAAAGCGCTGGAATAACGGTCAGAAAACGGCAGAGTGCGAATCTTGCTCGGAGCCGATATATGGCAAATCTGAAACATTACCAAATATTCCGGACTTGGGGGGCATGTGTTAACGACCAAATTTGGTAATATCAGTATCGGGGAAGAAGATTAGATCGAAGCAGAATCAAAGATGAGGATCGTCGTGGAAACAGAGTAAGAATCGGCTGGAGTTCGAATCGGCTACGATTGGGATCGGCTAAGTCCGAGTCAGACTGGGTTAGGTGATACAGCCAATTCCGACAATACGACTTGGTGTACGACATCGGGTCGAGTTGATATGCTTGAAGATGATTGCCACGCATGGATAGAGTCCTGAGAAGGCGACTGTATCTATTAGTTAGGATATTTTATATAAATTCCTTAGAGATATGTTTGGCAAAAGTCTGCCGCAAAGACTTATGGTATCTTAGAGTTTGTCAAGGATAAGAGTCTTGTCCGATATGGACATGTTGGATAATTCTCGGGTATAAATAGACACCGAGCCCTATGTAATCAAAGGAACACACACGTTCAATACAATCTCGGCGCATCGCCACCCTTTTTTACTTTAGTTTTATTTCGACGAGTTCTTGCTTTCGGGTTGAGCTGCATCGATTTCGATCTTCAACAAGAGGTAAAACTTGTTATGACGGCTTGCGTTCTTGGGATTAGTGCTTCCATCTTTATGATACTCTAATCTTGTTTATGTAATTCGTCGAGTTATCATATATCTTATATAATCTGTGGCAATATCACTATCTAACCTACACTCAGCTAACATCTATCAATAGAGGGCAACCGATTAGGTTAAGTATCGATGTTGGCTTAGATTATATATGATATCCACCACTCTATGAAACTTCCAATGGCTTGATTGTCTAGATATTGTCCTTCTTTTCATACTTATAGCTGCATCAGTTGAGTTTGATCTTATGAGTCGTGATTAGAATCTCAATCTCTAGCCTGCTTCTTGGTTGCCGATTAGGGTAGTATCGGGGTTTCAGCCGATCTTACCTGATTTAACTATATTTGCTTTATATGCTTTATTGACATGTTAAATCTACCCTTTATGTCAAAATCTTATTGCATTTAAGTATATTAGGCTTTTGTTTGGTATATTCTGCTTGCTTTAATATCTTAACATAGGGTGGTATCGGAGTATTAGCCATACATGCTAGATCTATCTGATCAGCTATGCTATGAACATATATAGTCTTGTTGTTAGTATATATTTCAATCTAAGTGATTTATACTGTCTCGGCATGGCGACCGATCTATCCCAATCACTTGATTTAAGTATATATCGACATAAGGATTATATATTGTTAATGTCTACAGCCGATCGAGTAGATTTAGTTCTTTATTATCTATTTATAACTGCCGATCGATGCATATATGACATCGGCTCAAAGATAAACGATATGTTATCGGCACTTAGTCGATTGGCTATCGTTTATGGATTTAACCACGGTTTCTTTGTCTTTATTTCTAGTTGATTGCAGGATCAAATCAACTGGCATGCTAGCATACCCGAAGGCGAGTTTTGGACCTGCACTGGAGTTAAGCCGATCTCCCAGGCCTCGTGTTTTTCATTAACACTGGAGTGGAAGGAGAAAGGAGGGCAGGAGGGACAGGAGGATATATGGGTCCCACATGGTCAGTGGGTCCCACAATAAATTTTTATGTGAATGATATGTGGGTCTCACATTTTTTTCATTGTAATGCCACGTAAGCACCACGTCAGCTTAAGACCAAGTCAACCGTGCTATGTAGGCACCACGTCAGCGAAAACCACCTTCAAAACCACCTAGGGAGTCATTTTGCACTGGTTTAAATAGTTGGATGAGTCGTTTTTACCCGGTTTTATGGTTGAGGGGTATGGTTTAGATTCCACCTATTGTTGAGGGAGTATGGTTTAGATTCCACCTATACTAATTGAAACATTTGTATATTATATGTGAAACAACGAGTTATAATTATTGAAACATTAGAAAATATTAACTGCAACATCCCAAGCAACACGTGCAACATTTATAAATGAATTAGTGAAATATTAGAAAATACTTACTGAAACATCCAATAATACCACGTGCAACATTCACAAATAAACTAGTGAAACGTCAGAAAAATATTTATTGAAATATCGAAATATTGCCATGCAACATTTTATATGTGTTTTGGAAAAATCAACCTTTTGTTGCACCATAATATTGTTTTATCACTTGTACGGATAACTCAACCCAGAGAGATGTAACTTATAAAAATTACTAAATGCAACAATAAGCACCGTCACATGAAATATTATGTCCCAAACTACTGAAACTAAAAAAAAATGATGCAACATATTTGTAAATATTAATTTGTTTAAATTTTATATCATTCTTGAAACGTTAACCTGCAATTTTTGAAACATAAAAATTTTATTTGCTGAAACATATAAATAGATCACGTGTAACAATAACTATATAAAAATTACTGGCTACAACAATAACTACCATTACATAAAACATTAGGTCATACCTAGGGAAACATAAAAATATATATGGTGCAACATATTTGCAAATATTTTATTTTGTTAAAATTTTATATCACTCTTGAAGCGTCAAGTTGTACTTTTTTTGAAACATAAAATACATTTACTAAAGCATAAAGCATATAAAAAGACCACATGCAACATTACATCTGAATTAGTGAAATATGAGTAAAAACATATTGAAACATTATAATAACATTATGTGATAAAAATCATCAGAATATTGTCATGTGAGATCTTGTTATAAATAGTTAATTATAACAAATCCAATGGTATAATTAGTTCATAATTCTGATAAATAGTTTAAGAGAAAGATCATTTAAATTTTGAATCGATGTGATTTTCATGCACGCTCCATTGGCTGCTTGCACTTGTCAGTTGTCATGCACCTGTGCTATACTACTACTCCATTGAGTTGAGGTGTCCAATTTTTCCTCCTTTATCGGACGTATGATGATAAGCATTTTCGTAACGTAATACTAGCTTCTAGATGATGGGGGAGCAAGTATCTCGGTATCTCATTCGTTGTACAAGAAGAAATTTGTTTGAAATTGCTTTTTGCAAACGTCCGTTCCAATCGAGCGGATTCTAATCAACCCTATCAAAACCCGTATGAGCGCTATCGACAACTGCTAACAAGCCCCATCGATAAGGGTTCTAGTGTGGGGTTGAGGCTGTGGGTGGCCGAAGAAAGGGTAAGTGGAGGGAGAGGTCTGGACTCGAGAGGGATTATCAAGGAGGGCGTAGGACGGCTAGAGGGAGGGGAAATTAGTGAGAGGTGTAGGTTTGAAATTTGAAGGGATGGCTGGGTTGAACTTTTACGGTACAATGTACTACCAGTATATACTGGCAGTACTTCTGTTTACCAATAAAATATATATATCTGTAATCTTTTTATGTTTCTTGTACTTAACTCGTGGGCATTAATTTTACTGTATTCGACGCATAACAATAATTAGGATACAACAACTAATAATGGTTGTGCGCGCAGCGGATATGACGCATGTTTTCATCGTAAGAGCTAAAAAGCTTAGAGAATGATAATAAGCCAAGCTAGCGAGCGGCCGGCTAGCTAGGAGTTGACGGCGTTGCACCTCTTCCTGATCTGGCCGGCGGCGCCGGTGAGCACGCCGATCTGGCCCATGCGCTTGATGGAGTTCTTGAAGTGGTCGAGGAAGACGCCGGGGTCCCGCAGCTTGTCGACGAGCGCGGCGGCGCGGCCGTCGGTGAGCAGCGTGGCGTCGGAGGTGAACATCCCCTGCCGCGCCTTGAGGTTCACGAAGTAGTGGCTGTCGAACGACACGCTGCTGCCCGGGTCCATCGGCACCACCGTCGAGTTGTCGTTTGGGTCCTGCTGGTTACGCCTGCACTGCCCCTGCACTTGCACACACACACACACAATTGCTGTAGTACATATTTTTCTATGCTTTTTTTTTTCCTTTTTGCAGCTACTGATCTTAATTCTGAATTTTGCAAGACATGATGAGATTAAATTACTGCAGAGATTAGCCATTACTCCACTAATTAACAGGTTAATTAATTACCTGGAGGAATCTGGCGTAGGATGGGTTGAGGGACGGGTCGACGTCGCTGGGGTTGTTCTTTCCGGTGAAGTTGAAGAGCCTAGAGCTGAAAAGGTTGCAGTGCCCGATTCCGATGGTGTGCCCGCCTATATTAATCGATCAGAGTTCAACTAAACAAAATTAGTCATAGTACGTTGTTTTGGTCTTGATCCACACGATCCAAAAAAGTTCATATAGATCGAACGAATCATTTTACATATTCATGTACTAAGTTGCTCCACCTTACATGCTCTTGTACCATCAGTTCCAAAATTAAATTTGACTTGTTTCATTAAGATTAGTTTTCAAATATTTACTTTGCGAAAAACAAGGACTTATATTAACATAGAGAATATGTATAAAATTGTGTAATTCTATTCGAAGGATTTATGTTTATGGGTCTTGTCCAATAGATAGTGGCACGACCCATGCGAACCACAGAGCGAGTAGCTTTTAAGTTGAACAGCTGTATGATAGTAACACTGATGAGAAACCGACGCTTTCTAGTAACATACCGCTCAAGATAACATGTGATGAGTTTCACGCGCTCTAAGTATGGGTCGCATGCTATTAGGAGGATTGTCTGCTATCTAAGCGGTACCGTCTATTCTAATTAAGTACTGCAGTCATCCATCCTACTTTAGTACGGTGAGTAGTCCGTCTTACAACAATCCAAAAATGGACTGTGGTAATAATGTTGAATATGAATAAAAAAACATTCATGTTTGGTATAATTTTTTTTATCCGACGTTTGATTTGAATTTTTTTAATTCCTAAAGCTGCTATCTTGACTGGGATTACTTTCCCAAGGATTGTTTTTTTTTTACCTACCGAATTGAAGCTAAATCTATCCAATCTGGTGGTTGCATCTTCGTATACTGTTTTGGCTCACATGCGCATTAACCGGACGTGCATGTGGCCTGTGGTGAAGTTTAATTAATTCTTTGCCCCATCACCGACAATTATGTCATTTTCAGCTGGGCTATTGCAATCAAGCGGTTGTTTTCACACTACGGGAACAGTTGTCTTTAATCAACATGCTTCAATTCAAATCCATGCAACCTTTCATATGGACGGTTTTCTTTTTCTTTTTACAAATTTTACTTTACTTGAGAAAGTAACTAAATGTATCAAGATTTTAAACTAAAAACTTTAATACCTTGAGATATTAGTAGATACCAAATTTTACAATTCGAAAATATGTTATCTTTTTTACCTTTACAAAGATGGTAAAATTATTTCCCTTTTTGCATTAAGAAATGTCAAAGTAGAATTTTTCTTGAGAAATGTCGTGAACTAGGTCACTAGGACAACTTGGAAAACATATTACAGGCTAATACTAGGCATATACAAATAAACAAAATAGGCCCTAGCTAGTTAAACAATTTTGATACTGCTGAAGTGATAAATCAAGAAATCAACCCCAATGATTAGTTGTCCCTGTGCTTTGTGGTCTAATTTTGGATGGCGTAACCATCTTGGACTTAGCTAATGAGTTTGTTCAAGTTAAGATGTAATAGGGGGAGTACCGGCCGGTACTGTTCTTTTATTCTTCTTCCGTGTGCGTCGTTGTGTTTTGGTCGAGTTCATCAGTTTTGTTCAGAAAACGGATGCTTTCATGAATGTACTTAGGCTGAGTTCGGCACCCCATCTTCCCAACCCAAATCTCTCGTTTTTCACGTGCACACTTTTCAAACTACTAAACAGTGTGTTTTTTTTAAAAAAAATTTATTGCGAAAGTTGCTTTAAGCAATCAAATTGATCTTTTTTTAAAAAAAATAGCTAATACTTAATTAATCATGTTAAAAGACCACTCCGTTTTGCGTGTAAAAAAAATGGGTTCCCATCCTGCACTGCCGAACACAGTCTTAATGAACTGCCCATTATCTAAGAAAATAATTAGTCTCCGTACGTATACTTCTTCAGTGATCGATGCAAGCAATGCAAGAAATTGTGTACGTACCTGAGAGGACGACGAGGTCCTGGAGACCGAGGCCCTTGGCGGAGAAGTTGGCGAGGAGGATGGGGAAGGTGGAGGTGGGCGCCGGGATGTCGGCGAGCGCCTCCTGGTCGCTGGAGACCGTGCCGTCACGCCTCCCGGTCTCCACCTCCCACAGGCTCCTCCTGTACTGGTACGACACCGAGTCCCGCGCCGCCAGCGCCACGATGTCCGCGCACGACACCACCCCGGCGCACTCCCGCTCCACCGCCGCCTTCACCTCCTCGATCACCTCGAACCCCGCCAGCGACAGGTTCGGCGCCGCGTTCTTCTCCGCCGTGTTGCTAGCCGAGTCCAGAAGCACCGACGCGTCACACCCCTTCATGTACATTATATATCCATTTGCACACATCAAGAATACAATTGTGCATGGTGTATCGTTTGGATATACTCTCTCTGCTTCAGATTATAACTTGTTCTGACTTTCAAATTCGGCCAAGTTTAAAAAAAAATAAAAACATTTTTAACACAAAACAAATATATCATAAAAATATATTCAATTATCGATCTAAAACTAATTTAGACAAATATATTAAGAAATATATTTAATTATCGATTTAATGAAACTAATTTGGTGTTGTAAATATTACTATGGTTGTGTTCGGGAGAAGGGGTTGGGAACCTCTCCTCCCAAGCGAAGCACGTATTATTACATGATTAATTAAGTATTAACTATTTTTTAAAAAATAGATTAATATGATTTTTTTAAACAACTTTTGTATATATTTTTTTTTGTAAAAAAAAACATACAGTTTAACAGTTTGAAAAGCGTGCGCGTGGAAAACGAGAGATGTGAGTTGGGAAAAAGGGGAAAAACACATCCTATATATATGTCTACAAAATTAATTAAATTTGAAGCAGTTTAACTTTAATCAGTCAAACCTATAATCTACAGAGGGGAATATATATATGATTGGCCAGTATATGGATATATTCAATTTGTGTGCGTACCCTGACGAAGCAGTCGTGGAAGAACATGCGGAGGAACTTGGCGGCGAGCTCCGGGTTGCCGGCGACGCGGTTCCACACCACCCGCTGCGCGATCTCCTCCGCCTTGGGGCAGCTCTTCTTGTAGAACCCCTTCTTCAGCCCGGGCCGCCTGCGCCGCCGCAATGCCGCTGCTGCCGGCGAATACCAACACCACGGCGGCGGCGGCGATCAAGCATACCAAGCCCTTATTATTGGCGCCTCCCTGCATGATGCTAGGTAGCTTAGCTAACAGCTATCACTCAATTATTTTTGCTCTCCTCTCGATGGTGAGTAGTGACCGGCCGTGAGCTCTATCTAGCTAGCTAGCCGAGTTAATTTATAATTTTATATCGACTCATCGGTTATATATATAGCCAACCGATGTATGTGCAAGTGTATCTATATACTTGTACGCCGGGTACTAATACATTATTACATATTAATTGACCATATATACAAGTTGTTGCTGATGTGTCTTGATGATATTAAAATAAATTACAGTTTTGCTATTTGTTAGTCGTCTATTTTTTTTATCTGTCAATCACTTGAACTTGCACACAAATATATATGGCCTAAGTTTGCAAAATATAGAACAGTGTAACTTTAGTATGAATGTGTTGTATCTTTTTGTTTGCTTTGTGTTTTTATTAGCCGGATTAATCTACACATAAATTAATGCTTATAGTACATATGTCTAGATATGATGAAATTATACGTGGGTCTTTAGCCCACGGGAGACATGCATGCATGTGAAACCACCTTAAAATAATTAATGCTCTTCTAATCAATTAAGGTCCTGTTTGATTCAGCTTATGATTATTATAATCTGGATTATTATGAGTAAGCTGCAACGAACATATAGCTTATTATAATAAATTATTACAATCTATAAGCCAGATTACTATAATCTAGTAATCCACTCTAAAGGTGCTTTTTTAAATTATTGGGTGGCTAACAACTAACAAAAAGCTAATAATCCAGATAAACAAACAGCTAACAACTATGTCAGCTTATTATAATCCAACTTATAGTAATCTGGGTCAATAATCTAGATTACAATAATATTAAGCTGAAAGAAGCATGGCCTAAGTAATGCGTGTGAAGAGAACTAAAGGAACACACGTGGGAAACCCACCACCTCCCCTCTCACCGGATCTGGCGAAGGGGAGAGCGCTGCCTCCCCTCTCGCTGGATCTGGCGTTAGGGAGCCCACTGCCGCCGCCGCCACCACCGCCTTCGCTGGGCAGCCGCTGCAAGAGAGAGGGGAGGCAGAGAGACACACGAGAGAGAGCGAGCGCCGGGCGAGGGAGAGAGCGAGCGCCAGGCGAGAGATGTGCGAGAGAGAGGGGAGGCATAGAGACGCGAGGGAGAGAGACGAGAGAAATGGATAGGACGCGAGCGCTGGATGGGAGTAGATAAGGATGGCGCTCGGTTCACCGGCTCGGCTCGGTTTGGTATAGATGAATACTCCGCCGCGTTACCGTGGAAAATTAAGTTTCATAATATATACAAATAAGATGCAATATGATTATTAAAACTAAAATAAATTGATATTTATGAATTTTGATCCTAAAAACAAGTGAGATCGCATAGTGTTATGAGAGAAGAAAAAAGAGACAATTTGAACCATAGACCTATCATCCAAAGACTAAAAATAATTGAGGTGATGTGGCTTAATGAAAAAAGAGAGAATAGCATTAATTATATTTAGTGGAGGAGATGAATTATATAAGAATATATACATAGGATTATATGTGTCGGTACTTATAAGTATAAGTGCCCTTTTTTTTTTAAGAACTGGCATCCATAGTGTTTAAAGATGCTAGTTCTATATTTTTTTCATCACGGATGTGGATCTATAGTGTTTAAAAATGCTAGTTCTATATTTTTTTCATCACACGGATGTAGAAAAAGTTTATATGTGTCGGTTTTACCTACGAGCAATTTCCTATAAGATATGAAGTATTTTGTAGCAGTGGTGTTGTGCGTCCTTTAGAACTAAACCATCAGTACGTTTCGACTATGTTTCGTGTTGATCTATTCACATGCAGTGCTGTCGTATACATGTATAAATCATATACATATGATATGGATCTATTGATATACATGCATGTTTAGTGTACCCACATGTGCTTAATTATATTTCCAATTAGTGTAGCCCAGCTAACTAACTCGATCAACGTACACCAATGCAAGTCGCCGGCAAAATTCTTGCCTTTCTTTTATGCGAGTGTTGAGCGTCTGCAGATCTCTGTCACGGGATTAATGTGAGCGGATGTCAGATTACAGATAGATCCTGACTTTATCAGCAGGGCTGCAGGCAAGTGGCAACCACCAGCCCGAGCTATTAAGGGGGATCATCATGATAGGATGTCAACATTTCAACGTCTCTCGTCTCCGATCCTACGCAAGAATCTGTTTTAGTACGTAGTGGTGCTTATTCCGTTAATCTGAACGTACACGGGCAACATGCTTGCCCTTCGATGATAGTCCACTTTAATTAATTTAGGTGTTGGAAGAAAAATACATAGGATCACAATAATTTAATTCAATATCTACTTTCATTGTCATATTTTACGTTGTAGTTTGTACAACTGTAGTACTGATTAACAGGTGCCCGTCTGTACGATATTATGTTAGTTTCATATAGGGCCCACCTTTTGGTTAGTTTCATATAGGGCCCACCTTTTGGTTTTAGGGGTTAATTTTACCCAATTTTTTTAACAGAAGATAACTATTTTTACACATCAAATTTCATTTAAGATTCTCAAATTCATATTTTTGGAGATGAAATTTAGCCAATGTTGTTGGTGATGCTATTAATTGGGTAAAGTACATTTTTGACGTCTAACTTGCTCAAAGACTAATTTTCTCCCTAACTACAAAAAGCAATTATTTTTCACCCAGAACTTTTAAAGCTGTATAAAAAAAACACCCTCAGAAATATATAGAGTGGCTAGTTAACTCACAGCTAGCGCACAAATTTTGACAATTTAACCCTTTGCAAAACTATTTTTACAAATAAACCGCCGTCAAAACTTATTTCAAAACTGACCCTTCTGTTCAACGCTAAATCGTGTGGCGCTGAATGTACGTTGGCACGCTGACTTAGCCTCCCATCTGCGGTGGTACGGTATTCAGCGCTAGTTGATGTGGCGCTGAGGTGTCTAAGTTCAACACCACATGATTTGGCGCTGAAAAAAAGGATCATTTTTAAAATAAGTTTTGGCGGCGGTTCATTTGTAAAATTAGTTTTTTAAAAGGCTCAAATTGTGAAAACTTGTACAGCTAGCGCTCCGTTTCTAATTCCCACTATATATGGATGACGTACGGTTTAGAGGAAGGAATTTACATCTTCTAGTTCGAGTAGTACCTTTTTCTACATTAGGTCCGTTGCTTAATTAGAAAGTCTCATATCCCCATTTTGTGTCTTAATTAGGGGAGTGCGGGGTTTTTGAGTTCTTGGCCACTTCTTTGGAGTTAATTTTACCTACTTTTAATTGGTACTTGGGACATTTGCATTCGTACGGTTGGGGATAACCAGGTACTTTATATGTTCCATAAAAAAAAAACTCAACTAAGTCCAAATTTATTGTTTTTAGTGATGGAGGGAGTATTTATTTTTTTTTTCAGATGTAATACACATGGTAACTAAAAACAAAGAGAGATAGTTGAACCCTAGCTCAAAAATATTTACTGCCCCGTTCTACAATAACTTCAATTTTGTACATAAATATAGATATAGCCTATACCAGGTTCATATATAAAGTGAACTTATTTTTGTATGGAAGTGGTACTAGTTACAGTCCCGTTGAAATTTGCAAGGCACTTAAAATGCTACATAAACAAATTGTTGATTTTGAAAGTTAACAATAAAGAAATAATCACTTTGCGATGTATATGTATTTAGGGACCGAGCCAACGTAGACTTCTACTGGTCTAGACACAAATAACTTCTAGCATGGGCCATGTGTACTCTATTTTATAATAGGCGACATAAGTACCTCTTGAATTGTGACACTAGCAGGTGAGTTGTATTGAGAATTGCCTAATATATCAGGGCAATTTAGTTGCTATAGTTATAGATGGCCATATGGCCCGCCCGGCCTGGCCCGGCCTAGGCACGGCCCGAGGCGATCGGGCCGGCACGGCACGCCTGGCACTTCGTGCCGTGCCATGCCTGCCCACGGGCTGAACCTCAAGCCCAGGCACGGCCCGGCACGCATCGGGCCGACACGGCACGCCTAGCACTTCGTGCCGTGCCGTGCCTGCCCACGGGCTGAACCTTAGGCCCAGGCATGGCCCGACAGCAGTCGTGCCGGGCCGTGCCGGCCCGACGGCACGATGAGCCCACCGTGCCCGGGCTAGCCCAGGCACGCCAAACACTAACTGCCACTTGTTCACTTCAGTGTTGCACATACATATCGAAAATGCAATGTCCATCACAAAAATCAGCACAAAACCATCCAATTCACAAGTTAACATATCACAATATCACAAGTCTCAGATTACAATATCACAATTCACAAGTTATAGTATGTGCAATATCACAATTCAATTCTCTAACTCAACTACTAAGTCTCACAATTCACAACTCAAGTCACAAATCTACAAAACACTTTCAAATACTAAGTCTAATAGTTCACAAATCACAGTTCAAACTCAAGTGATCAAGTCACAAACACTTTCAAAAATAATAGTAGCTGTGTAGTGCAATGGCTGCCTCATTAAAAACCTTTCTAGGTAAAAACTCACACCTCGTCAGAAAACCCTAGAAAGGAAAAAAGAGTGCAGCCCACAGCTTTCATCTAACTATCATATTAAAGTCCAAGTCCAATACAATCATCCAGTTCCAGTGGCACTGCCACTGGTTACATCATCAAGACACAAATTCTCAAATGATTTTATAAGCTCTACATTCTCAGCAGTGTGCTGCAACTTCTTGTCTACCTGCACCTAGTCCTTGATCAATGCCAAAGCTTGCACCATGTTAGGACCTAGACGCCGTCGTCGCTCCTCGATGATCCTGCCAGTTAAGCTAAAAGCAGACTCCGACGATATAGTAGAAACAGGAACAGTCAAGACATCTCTAGCTAATATGGACATAATAGGATATGTGTGTTTGTGCTCATGCCACCAGTTTAGGATATTGAAGTCATCGTCGAATTGGTTGACAATGTCACAGTCAAGATAGGCAGACAACTCAGAGGCATTCAAGTTAGCATTAGAAGAAACAGCTTGAATCAAAGCAGTAGCAGAAGTTCTCCTGGAAAATGGACCAGCACCAAGTCCAGAACCTGGACTGGCACCAGCACCAAGTCCAGGTTCTGGACTGGCACCAGC